GTCAGTCCATGAGTGTTGGGGTCAGTCCATGTGAAAGCAAATAGATCCTGTGAGGAAGGATCTAAGGGGATGGAGAAGAAGGCATCTTTTAAGTCTAAAACTGAGAAGTAAGTAGTGGAGGCTGGAACCTGGGATAAGAGGGTGTAGGGGTTAGGGACGAGGGCATGGATAGGGATTACGGCGGAATTGACTGAACGGAGGTCTTGGACCAATTGATAGGAGCCATTTGGCCTTTTTACCGCCAGTATGGGAGTGTTGAAAGGCGATTGAGTGGGGCGGAGGTATCCCTTCCTGAGAAGGTCCTCGACAATGGGTTGGAGACCACGAAGCGCTGTGGTGCTGAGGGGGTACTGAGTTGCATGACTAAGAAGGAATGAGAGAAAGAGGATGGGACGCCCTCGATGTGACAGGTTAATGGAGGTGTTTTATGGGGAAAGACTTGTTTTCCTCCTACCCAGACTATAGGAGAACTACTGGGTGTAGTTGGTCCCTTAAATTCCTTTAAGACCAAAAATGTGGCTCCCGTATCTAAGAGGAAGGAAATAGGATGACCATCAACGATAATAGTTACGCTGGGTTCACTTTTTGTGATGTTAATGGTCGGGAAGGATCCAGGGCCCCTTCAATCCTCCTCAGCCAGTCCCACCAAAGGTGTCTGAGATGCCCAGGACGGCTGGGGTTTGGTTGGCCAATCTCCCCTTCGGGTGAATGGGCAATCGGAGCCACAATGTCCCCTTCTTTGACACTTGGGGCATGGAGTGGTGGGTGGTCTGGGCGAGGGGCAGGTCCGCGACCAGTGACCTTCTTTCCCACATTTGAAGCATGCCCCATGGGGGGGGGGGTTGGAGGCAGAGGGCCCAGAAAAGCGTCCAGGAGACGGTCTGATTATCTGAGCCAACATCTGAAAATTGGCCAGGTCAGCCTTTTGTTTTCGTCGTTCTTTTTCCTCCTCCCTATTGTGGAAAACCTTAAAGGCCACTGATAAGATCTCGGTCTGTGGAGTAGCGGGGCCCTGATCCAGTTTTTTAAATTTAGTTCTAATGTCGGGGTAGGCTTGAGCCAAAAAGCATGTCATGAGGACATGGCATCCCTCCTCTGAGGAGGGATCCAGGTTGGTGTATTGCTGGAGAGCCTGAGTTAGTTGATTAAGGAACTCGGATGGAGTTTCCTCCTTTTTTTGGAGAATTTCTTGGACCTTTTGGAAATTAACAACTTTGCGGGCAGCTTTTTTAAGACCTGCTATTAGGCAGGAGGCAAATTGGTCTCGTGCCTGAATACCCTGGATTGTATTATAATCCCAATGTGGATCCTGCTCAGGAACTGCGTGTGGGCCGGTTGGGAAGGTGGGATTAACACGATGGTTTTCATCTGCATGAGCTCGGGCCTTGTCCCAGACGCGGCGTCGCTCTCCAGGAAGGAGGGTGTTAGCCAGTAGCATGTAAATGTCATGGTGGGTGAGACTGTAGGCCTGGAGAACCCATTGGAATTCCTTAACATAAGTGGTAGGATCGGTGGTAAACGATCCTAATTTTCTCTCTAATTGAGTAAGGTCTGCTATTGAAAAGGGAACATGTACCCTAACAACCCCTTCAGCACCAGCTACTTTGTGGAGAGGAGCCATGGTAGAGGAAGGGAGGAGTCCCTGGGAATGAGTTACGAGGGGGCTGAAAGAGGCAGAGGGGGAGGGGAAAGGAGGGAGAATGGAAGGGTTAGGTGGAGCAGAAGATGGCGGTGGAGTGAGCTGCTGTGGGGGTTCGGGGGACGGAACTACAGGAGGAGGGGGTCTGTATGGAGGAGTTTCTTCCACAGGGTCAAAACCATCAGAAGTAGGGGATAATGGAGGCGGTGAGGATAGAGGGGTTTGGAAGCAAGGAGAACCTGGGAGGGAGAACAGATGAGACAGAGAGAGGGATTTGGGGCAAGTAGGCGGAAAGCCTCAATGTAGGGAATCTCCTTCCATTTTCTCTGGCGCTCGCAGAGGTTGAATAAATCTCGAAGAATATCGGGATTTAGTGTGCGTCCGGTGGCCATCTGTTTTGATTATCTAATTGGTATTGAGGCCAATCTTGTGTGCAAAATTTTATAAGGAGCTTGGGCTTGATATCAGCCTCTAAAGACAAGGTTTTTAGGTTTTTTATAAGGCATTGGAGGGGAGAATGTGCTGCAGGTGACAAGGGTGAAGCTCCCATGTTAAAGCAGGAAGGAGAGTGAAAGACAAGGAGGTGGAGAAGGGAAAAATTCCTTCGGCCAGAGGGAGGGAAAGACACAACTATAGAGGGTGTCCCCACCTATATTCTGTCAGTCCCGGAGGTTCGGAGATGAACCGGGAGGGAGGAGGATAGAAGTCGTCACTTTACCCTCTGTCACCTTGGTGAGGGCAAGTGCCCAGAGGCTTGAAGGAACCCGGCGCCAGGATTTTCGGGAGCCCTGGGCTCGGAGAAACAGAAATACCAGATTGAAGGAAAAAGTGAGAGAATGGGAGCTTCACCCTGAAGAGGTCGCCTCTAATTGGGCTGGGAAAGGAGGGGAATGTGGATTGCCTAATGTGATGAGAGAATACCTAGGGGTCTGCCCAGTGCCCTGAAGGCCATGGTGGGGTGTATTCTCTGTCTTAGGGTCGGGCGTCAGAGGGATACCAGACGATTACGGTAGCCCAGCCTAAGATGGCGCCCCCGGAGAGAGACTTACGTTTAGGTGAGCCGGTGGTGGGTGCAGAGAGCCAGCGCCGTAGAAAATGGACGAGGGCGAAGCGTCAGCAGTGGGAACTGCCGAGAGAGTGAAGGAAGTCTGAGAAGGAGTCCCCTCGGGTAAGGGGTGAGCTCCTCCTGGGTTTCGGCACCAATGAAAGGACGACAGGACCCGAGCTGACAGTTCACTGGAGAAGTTCCGCTTTATTCGGGGGAGAAGCATACATTTATATAGAGCCAGGTTCCGGGAGAGGGTGGTTAGTACACGGTGCGGTAGTTGATTGGCCAGGGGCGGGTAATGATTTCTGATAGGCTGCACCTTGGCGCCGGCGAGATTGCTAGGACCCGGAAGCGAAAAGTGCCATGTTTTAGGGAGTGCCTCCTTTGGGATCTTCTATGGGGCCTTACATCCGGGAAGGGCCTAACCACACAAGGGGTAGGCTGTTGGGCAATTCCCCAGTTCCTCATCTGTATACCACCCCACTGAAAGCCACCAATGAATTTAAAAGTCACCTCAGGGGGGGGGGGGGCTGTATACAACTCATCCTGTTGCCAAAGTCTGCCTACCAAACTGTATAAAAAGTGCTTGTGTTAAGAGCTCGGGGCCGCTTCTATCCTGAAAACGGGGTGACCCCAGCATGCTGGAATAAAAACCTCTTGCTTATTGCAACGATCTCTGCCTCCTGGTCTTTGCGAGATGAGCCTTCCCAACAAGTAAGATTTGCACTTTCGGGCCAGTCTTACATTTTGGTGCATTGGCTGGGAAGTGACTCTCTCCAGGACCGGAGACTAGAGAACAGAGGGTCACTCAAGCAGGTACAATGGTTGTCTGTCTGTCTGTGTCTGTCTTTGTTGTCTGTTGTAATCTGCTTTTTGGTGGCTCCAGGATGGAGTCATCGGTCTGGTTTCGGTTTTTCGGTGGCTCTGGGATGGAGTCATCAGTCTGGTTTCAGTTTTTCAGTGGCTCCGGGACAGAGTCATCGTTCTGGTTTCGGTTTTTCGGTGGCTCCAGGACGGAGACATCGATCTGGTTTCGGATTTTCTGAGGCTCTGGGATAGAGCCATCGGTCTGTAGTGGTTATAGCGGCGGGTAGATGTACCAGCACGTTGCGGCCACTGGAATCCTGGAGGACGCTCCAGATTCCTCTGTTGGAGACGAACAGGTTCGGCCCCACGGGAGATCTCTAGGAAGGAGACCCCTCCCAAGTTCTCTGATAATCAGGTTGTGGCACCCGTGGCAGGGGCACATCAGTGTTCTGGTTTCTGTTTGTCTAGTTGCATGTGTGTTGGGACTGACGACTTTCTGGGGCGACATGGGGCAGACTGTCTCTACCCCTTTAAATCTGACTCTGAAATACTGGACTGACGTGAAGGCTTTAAATCTGACTCTGAAATACTGGACTGACGTGAAGGCTAGAGCTAATAATTTGTCTATTCAGGTCAAAAGGAATAAGTGGGCAGCACTTTGTTCTTCGGAGTGGCCAACCTTCCAACTCGGGTGTCCTGTCGAAGGCTCCTTCTCTCTGCCACTGATCACGGCCATAAAGAGAAAAATTTTGGTTCTAATTCTAGGAGTCACCCAGACCAGGTCCCTTATATCATTGTCTGGGAAGATCTGGTCATGGGCCCTCCTCCGTGGGTCCATCCCTTTGTTCCCCTAACAGGTCCATCGCCTGTGTTTGCTCTTCAAGAGATGAAAAAGAAACCAGAGATCCTACCTTCCACCGAATCAGACTTGCTTCTCTTAAACCCTCCTCCTTACCCTCCCTCCCTCCGCCCGCAGGCAGCCTGCCCGTCAGCTCCGCCAGAGGACCCCCAAGGAGGAAGGGAGGGACCTGCGCAGGGGACGCATAGTAGGCGAGCAGCCCTTCCGGAGGCTGTTCCCACCCTCCCTCTGCGGGCTTATGGCCCTCCTGATGAAGAGGGCAACCAGCCCTTACAGTACTGGCCTTTCTCCTCTTCTGATCTTTACAACTGGAAATCTCAGAATCCCCCTTTCTCTGAAAACCCCCAGGGTCTCACTAACCTTGTAGAATCCTTCCTCTTTTTTTTTTTTTTTCCTTTTTGTCTTTTTTGTGACCGGCAACGGGATCGCAACCCTCGGTGTCGCGCCTGCACCGCGCTCAGCCAGTGAGCGGACCGGTCTCTATATGGGATCCTGTTGGGCTACGCCCGGGCCGCCAGCCATTTTGGGAAAGTACCTCAGCCATTTTAAACTTGCTTCTGGCTGATTCTGGGAAACCGAAACCTAAGCGGAGAACTCAAAACTTAAAAGAACTAACTTCTGGGGTACGGTGACTCTGCACTTTTTTCCCGCCTGCCCTGTCCTCACCCCTCCTCCCGGGTAGCGGTGTGTCAACTCCCTATTGGATAAGAGTTCCCCCGCCCCTGGTATCTTATAAAAACCCCTGCTTGCTGTAATAAACAGAGTTCCGGCTTTGACCGCTCTCCTGGCTCGGTGTTCTTTCTTTGTCCCCGGGGCCGAAGCGCAGAGGGGATCGGGCCTATGACACTCATCATCCCGCTCAGCCCCACAAGAGGTTACCGCCGGCTGGTCCGGGGTCCCTTCCCGCCCTGTGTTGTTGGTCCCCGGTGGCGAGGAACCAACAGGATTCGAACCCTCGGCAGGAACACCGCAGCGCTCCCAAGTGCCGCACTCTACCAAGTGCGCCACCGGGCCGGCCCTAGAATCCTTCCTCTTTACTCATCAGCCCACCTGGGATGACTGCCAGCAGCTCCTCCAGGTCCTGTTCACCACCGAGGAGAAACAACGAATCCTCCTGGAGGCTCAAAAGAACGTTCCAGGAGACGATGGGCGACCTACCCAACTCCCTGATGTTATAGATGCAGGATTCCCATTAACCAGACCAAACTGGGATTTCAACTTGGCAGAAGGTAGGGAGCGCCTGAAGGTCTATCGCCAGGCTCTAATGGCAGGTCTCCGAGGGGCATCAAAACGCCCCACCAATTTGACTAAGGTAAGAGAGGTGATCCAGGGACCCAATGAGTCTCTGTCAGCATTTCTGGAGAGACTCATGGAGGCATTCCTTCAGTTTACCCCGTATGATCCTAGTAGTGAGGAGCACAAGGCTACAGTGACAGTTGCTTTTATTGACCAGTCTAGTAGAGACATCAGGAAAAAACTGCAGAAGCTTGAAGGGTTATAAGACAAGTCACTGAGGGAATTAGTGCAGGTGGCTGAAAAGGTTATTACAATAGAGAGTCAGAAGAAGAAGAAAAGAGAGAGAAAGCAAAAAGAGCAGGAAGCTAAAGAAATTAAAAGGGAAAAGCACCAAGAAGGAACTCCTCATAAAATTCTGGCCACTGTAGTTAGGGAGACTGGAGAACCTAGTAAGACAGTACCAGGCAGCAAGAAGAAGCCCCTCCTCCCCAAACCCAGGGTAACCCTTAGAGTGGAGGGGAAGCCCACCCAGTTCTTGGTGGACACTGGGGCTCAGCATTCAGTGTTACTGCAAACAGATGGACCCCTCTTAAATAAAAAAATTGTGGGTGCAAGGGGCTACAGGGAACAGACAGTACCCATGGACTACCCGAAGAACGGTGGACCTAGGCATGAGCCGGGTATCCCACTCGTTCATTGTCATTCCTGAGTGCCCCTACCCACTACTGGGAAGAGACCTCCTCACCAAAATGGGTGCTCAAATTCATTTTGACCCCGAGGGACCGCAGTTGTTAAATCGACAAGGAAAGCCTCTCCAGGTACTAACTCTCAGGCTGGAAGATGAATACCAATTGTTTAAAAAACAAGGGCTGGAGACCGGACAGATGGATTGGTGGTTAGAAAACTATCCCCAGGCGTGGGCAGAAACTGCAGGGATAGGGAAGGCTAAAAACCGGCCCCCCATCCACATAGAGCTGAAGGCTCAGGCCAGTCCTATAGCTGACCGACAGTACCCAGTGTCCCGAGAGGCACATGAAGGCATCCAACCCCACATTGCCCATTTGCCCCAGCTGGGGATCCTACAGAAGTGCCAATCAGCCTGGAACACACCCTTGCTACCGGTCCGAAAACCTGGGACTAATGACTACCGACCGGTCCAAGACCTCCGAGAGGTAAACAAGCGGGTGGCCAACCTCCACTCCACAACTCCTAACCCCTATAATCTTGTAAGCTCTCTACCCCCAGACAGGACCTGGTACTTGGTACTGGATCTCAAAGATGCATTCTTCTGTTTACCGCTGGCTGTAAAAAGTCAAGATTACTTTGCCTTCAAATGGAAAGATCCAGAGACTGGCCTAGCAGGGCAACTCACTTGGACCCGCCTGCCTCAAGGATTCAAAAACTCGCCCACCATCTTTGACGAGGCTCTGCACCAGGACTTGGCTGTGTTCCAGGCCTCTAACCCCCAGGTAACTCTGTTGCAGTATGTAGATGATCTCCTCCTGGCAGCGGCCGACGAGGAACTGTGTCTGGAAGGAACAAAGCATCTCCTGACAGAGCTGGGAGAACTGGGCTATCAAGCCTCCACCAAAAAGGCCCAGATCTGCAAGCGACAGGTCAGTTACCTGGGGTACCTTCTTAAAAACAGGAAAAGATGGTTATCTGAGGCCAGAAAAGAGACAGTGTTCCACATTCCACCACCCGCTAACCCAAGACAAGTCAGGGAATTTTTAGGTACTGTCAGGTTCTGCCGCCTATGGATACCTGGTTTTGCTGAGATGGCAGCCCCGTTATATCCCCTCACAAAGAACAGTCAGCCCTTCAAGTGGGGAAAGGAAGAATAACAGGCTTTTAACAACATCAAGACGGCCTTGATGTCCCCACCGGCTCTGGGGCTCCCCGACGTAACCAAGCCCTTCCACCTGTATGTGGCAGAAAATAAGGGGGTTGCAAAAGGGGTTGCAAAGGGGGTACTAACTCAAAAACTGGGCCCCTGGAAATGGCCTGTAGCATATCTGTCCAAAAAACTAGACCCAGTAGTCTCGGGGTGGCCAGCTTGTCTAAGGATCATAGCAGCAGTAGCAGTTCTCGTAAAAGATGCTGACAAGTTGACTATGGGGCAGAGTTTGGTAATCTCGGCACCTCATGCTTTAGAAAGTATTGCCCACCAGCCCCGCGACCGCTGGCTCACAAATGCTCGCATGACTCACTATCAGACTCTGTTACTGAACTCAGACTGGGTTACTTTCGCTCCCCCGGCGAGCTTAAATCCAGCCACGTTGCTCCCAGACCCTGACCTTGATCCTCCTATCCATGACTGCCAACAAGTGCTTGCTGAGGCACATGGATGGCGGAAAGACTTGTCAGATCAGCCTCTGACGAACGCCAAAGCCACCTGGTACACTGACAGCAGCAGTTTTCTGGAGGAAGGAGTACGGAAGGCAGGAGCCGCTATAGTAGACGGCCAGAACCTGACATGGGCACAGGCCTTACCTGCAGGAACGTCCTCCCAGAAGGCAGAACTCATCGCCCTCACAAAGCCCTTGAACTAGGAGAGGGCAAAAGAATCAACATCTATACAGACAGCAGGTATGCCTTCGCCACTGCCCATGTGCATGGTGCTACATGTCAACAGCGGGGTCTGCTAACCTCTGGAGGAAAAGAAATCAAAAACAAGGCCGAGATTGTAACCCTGCTGGAGGCCCTGCACCGACCACAAAAAGTGAGTATTATACACTGCCCAGGCCACCAAAAAGGGGACTCCCCCATCGCTAAGGGAAACAACTTGGCTGATTCTGAAGCAAGGGCTGCAGCCCACAGGTCCACTTCTCTTCTGCTAGTTAACAACCCAAAGCTAGAGGAGCCCAAGTTTAAGTACTCTGCTGAGGACGTAGCAGAGATATCAAGGGACTCTAATAACCACTTCAATCAGGAAAAAGGGCGCTGGCATGCAGTGTCAGGCAAGCCTATCTTGCCACAAGAACAAGCACGCGCCATGATTAAACAAATGCACCAATGGACTCATCTGGGAGTAAACAAATTGGAAAGAGGATGACTAAATGCAATGTGGAATCCTGAACTGGATTCTGGAACCGAAAAAGGACATTAGTGTTTCCAACTGCCAGGATAAAGTGTGGAGTGGCAGGCGAGGACAGATAGACTTCATCTCATACCTATTAGGTCATACAAGTCAGATCCTCTGCACATCTCTGCTAAATTGGAGGAACTCAGAGACTATGTCACTGGGACAGGCAGTGTCACCCCTGTTGCAAATGCTCCCTATTCATTCAGTATCCAAGCTCAGGAAGCAGCCTCTGGCCTCAAAGTGAATTCCCACGTAGGCTTGCCCACAGAAACAAGATGGTAACAGGCACACCCACAAGTGCCTGGCCCTGTGAATACATACAGGTCTTATTATACATTAATGGTTTGTCGGTCTGAGTTTTATTCATCTTGAGCTTCGAGATCCAATTTGGAAAATGATTTTTTAAATAATTTTGAAAGACATACACTAGATATTGTTTTGTCAGTGTTCAACCATTTGGTCACTCCCTAACTGAAAGTGCGCGTGTTGAGATCCTACCATATTCTAGGCACTATGAATAAGACAGTCCTTCAAGAACACTGCAGTTTGGCTACTAAAGATTAGAAGTCAGGTGGGAACAACAAGGGACACATTTTGAAAATATGGATCACATCTTATTGTTTTTATGCACTGATAGGCAGTAGAGAGGGAGACACGCTGTGTGCAGGAGAAGCAGGTGATGCTCGCGAGGGCAAGGAGTCAGGAGCCAGGAAGATGGGGCCCAGAGCACAGGTGGCCCCTTCAGAAGGAGGGGAAGGACTAGGCCATCAAGCTCTGAAAAGCAGGGTCCCCACTGGCAAAGAGGATCATACCATTGGTGAAATGGGTCTGTGTAGGGCAACAGGGAGCACAGAGATTAGGCAAACTGGGAAGTGGCCTGCAGCTAGTGAGGGCAGCCAGTTGTTACCACACAGAAATTCAGTCCCAATGTTGCCAGGTCTCCTGGATGTATATGTGCTACTGCCTGGCTACAAAATGTGGTTAAGTTCTAATTCAAATAACACTGTGTAGGACAACAAAATATATTGGGTCAAATTTGGCCAAGGACCTGTAGTGTGACATCTGTAGTGGATTCCATAATTCCTTCTAGCTGTACTGCTAACATTCAAACACTCTCAAGGCAAATTATCAGAAATTCTACATAAAACGGCCTTGGGGGAAAAATATTCGAAACAATTATCAACAGACAAATGAAAACGTGTCCCTCTTCATGGAATTTTTTTTTTAAACTTTCTTAAATATCACATACACACACTTAGGAAATCCACAAACATAAAGAATATTTTCTTAAATCTGAAAATAAGAAACTAAAATTCACCACTTACAATATGCTGCCAAATTGGAATTGAGAAAAAAAAAAAAAAAAAAAAATGCCCAGTATGTTGAGACTAAGGCAAAAGAGATGAGGGTTTCTTTATGAACAAAGGAATATAGGAACATAGGAACAAAGTTCAAAGGAAATAAAAATGTGGACAACAAGAAATAATACGAAGGAGAAAAATACTGAAACTTTAACCAATACTCTTGTTAAACTGAAAGTGACTCTCTAAACATCAGCTCAATTGACAAGAGCATTAATTCACCCACAAAAATAGAAAAGGAAATTACAAGTTAATAAAAATCAGGACTATGAAAGAAGATTTAAAAAATCATTTCAGACAATTCTGAAATTGGGAAAACATTTTTTCTCAGCTACAAATGAATTAATGTTACAACAAAGTGAACCAAACACAAATATATCAAATCATGTTAAAAGAAATAAAGATTCTGAATGAAGAAATAATAATGCCTAAAACAAAAAATAATAACACAAAACGACATTTGGTCCTCAGATTTTACTGGATAAGTTTTCAAAACTTTCCCGAAAGGAATATATTACATAAATTTTCCTAAATTATAGACAACTGTGGCCTGAGAGACCTAACCCAGATGGGACAACAGAAGTGAGGATGACTATACAGCACTGTCACTTATGAGCCTAAATCCAAATATCTGATTATAAATCGCTGTCATTTATCAGCCTAAATCCAAACATCAGAAATGGCATCTTAAAGAAAAGAATATGGTGTTTTTGTTACAGATGGTTTTGTGCTCACACATAGCATGCAGGGGGAGAGAGAGACACACAGGAAGGTGGGCGGTGGTAGGGGGTGGG